GAGATAGAAGGGAGAAGCATTTCGTGCGGAATGATGTCGGGAGTTGTGTACGAATTCTGCCATGGGAAGTTTCTCTGACCACGAGGTCTGATCATTCGCACAGAAGATATGAAGATACACTTCTAGTTCCTGGTTTACTCGTTCAGTTTCTCCATCTGTTTGTGGGTGGAATGCGGTAGAGAGCGCGATCTTATATCCCAGGAGTCGTCCTAGTTCTTGTGCGAACTTAGCTGCGAATTGGGGTCCTCTATCAGAGATGATCTTGTCATAGAGTCCGAAGCGTGTGTAAACACGATTGAAAAATACGTCGGCGACTCCTTCTGCATCGATCGTCTTGTTGCAAGGCGTGAGTACCACCCCCTTCGTAAGCCCATGGTCTACCACGACCATGATAGAATCGAAGCCATTTGATGGGGGAAGGTCCACAATGAGGTCAACGGAGCATTGGGCAAAGGGGCGGGAAGAAGTAGGGGCGGGAATGGGACACAGCGGTGGTTTTGTAGGGTGGGTGTTGACCTTATTCTGTTGACAAACAGCACAACCTTCGACATATTTGCGAACGAAGGTGGGAAGGCCTGGCCACCAGTAGTCACGAGAGAGGATTTCTTGAGTTTTAAAACGACCAGGATGGCCGGCAGTCGGGGAATCATGATGTAGAGAGATCAATTCCTTCCGTAAAGGACCTGGGGGAACATAGTTTTGACCCTTGAAGGTAAGAATTGCATCGGAAAATGTCCAATCAGAGAGTGCTGATTTCATAGGGAGGGGTAGGGTGGGGTTGGAAAGGGCGTCTATGGTCTGTTGGACTACAGGGTCCACTGCAGATGAGATTCGAAGTTTCTCCTGCATGGAAACATCGATAAGGGAAATGAATAGCCCATTGGGGAGGACAGTGACATCGGAATTGTCCTTCGCGTCAATGGGAATATGATCAGGTCTACGGGAGAGGGAGTCAGGAATGGAAAGATCTTTGCCGGGTACATGTTGGAGTTGAAGGTCAAATTGAGAAAGGAATAAAAGCCAACGAGCTTGTCGACGATTAAGTTGTTGGGCTTGGCAGAAATAAGTCAAGTTCTTATGGTCTGTCATAATGAGGACAGGGAAAGGGGAACCTTCGAGGTAATGACGCCAGGCTTCTAACGCTCGTATGATGGCTAATAATTCTCGATCGAAGATTTGATAGTTCCGTTCTGCCAGGGAAAAGGTTTGTGAGAGATAGGAACAAGGATGCCAGTCACCGTTGGAGTCTTTTTGAAGGAGTACTCCACCGGTAGCATAGAGAGATGCGTCAACAGCAATTGCGAAAGGTGCGTCTTTGTCAGGGATGGATAGTACGGGGGTGGAGAGGAATCGATTCTTCAAGTCATTAAACGCTTTATCGCATTCTGGCGACCAATCAAAGATGACGTCTTTCTTTGTAAGGTCAATGAGTGGTCGTGCGATGGTGGAATAATTGGCAATGAATCGACGGTAGAAGTTGGTGAATCCTAAGAACGATCGAACATGTTTAACGGTCGTTGGTTGTTCCCATTTGACGACTCCATCTAATTTGATTTTGTCCATACAGATTTGTCCGGGGCGGATGAGGAGGCCAAGATATTCAACTTCGGTGGTGTCAAAGACACATTTTTCAGGTTTGAGAGAGAGTTGGTGATCACGAAGTCGTTGTAGTACTCGCGTTGTTCGTTTGTGATGGGATTCGAGGTCTTTAGAGAAGATTAAGATGTCGTCCATATAAATGACCATCCAACCTTCGTCTATCATGTCGGAGAAGATGTCGTTCATCATTGCTTGGAACTGTCGCAGGGGCATTGCATAGACCGAAGAACATAACCGTTGGCTCGAAGAGTCCTCTTGACGTTTTGAATGCGGCTTTCCATCTATCTGGTCCATGGATTCGAACGTTATTGTATCCTGCGCGTACATCCATCTTCAGTGAAGATTGTTGCGCCTTTTAGTTTGTCGATGAGGTCGGGAATACGGGGCAGGGGATAGGCATCTTTCACGGTTGCATCATTGAGTCTTCTATAGTCTTGACACGGTCTAAGAGATCCGTCTTTCTTTCCTACGAAGAAGAAAGGAGATGCTTGTGGAGATTGAGATGGCACGATAGTTCCTTTTGCCAGATGTTCGTCTATGAATTCGTTCATTGCCTTTTCTTCTGGTGCTGATAATGGATAGATTTTGCAGGAACGCGGTTCGAAATCAGGTTTCAGTTTTATCTTGTGGTCAAAGGGTCGAGACGGTGGTAAGGTATCCATGGCTGCCTTGTCGAAGACGTCTTTGTACATATGAAAGACCTCGGGCACGAGTTCTTCGAACGTCTTTGGCTTTTCTTTTGCATATGCTTCTTGTGCCAATTGTTGAGTGACATTAGCAGCCTTTCGTACAGGGATAGGGGAGAACATGAATCGAGCAGAGTTGGGGACTTTAGAGATTCTGTTCGTTCGGGACACAAAAGAGAAGGTAGTGGGGATATGTTCTTGCGTTAATGGTGAGTCGAAATCGATTTTTTCATACATTCCCATGAATGCTTCTCCTTTAACGTAAGCGATAAGAACTTCGTCATCTTGTAGTTCTTCTATTATTTCTTGTTGCTCTTCTTCTTCCTCTTCTTCAGGGTAGAAGTTCCGGTTGATCCTCGGGAATATCTTCCGAGGGTATGTATGCTTCTTCGTCTTCGATTTCTTCTATTCTTGGTTGCATAGAAGCATGTTTGTTTCTGTCAGAGATAAGGGTTTGAATCATGATTGGGTCTTCTTCTAGCGAGATTTCGCTTTTAGCCCAGTCTATTGTTGGATTTTCATTCTTGAGCCATGGAAGTCCGAGGATGATGTCTTCTCCTCCGAGAGAGGTGATAAGGAAGGTGGCGAACATAGTTCGGCCTCCTGCTGAGAAGAATAGATTGCAGGCTTTATTAATAGTTCCTGCCTTGTTCTTCGTTCCATCCACGTTCCGGACTTCGATTTGTGAAGAGAGATTATGAGTTGAGAAATTGTTCTTTTGTACGTATTTCCAGTCAATGAATGTTCCAGCGGCGCCCGAAGTCAATTAGGGCGGCTGCTTCGGCGGTTTTATCGGACTTGCAGGATTCGATCGAAATAGGAATGCGCATGGAATTCGAAATCGCCTACAGAAGATACAATGAGTCCGATAGATGTACTAGGGGTTTCCGACGCCGGTCCGGTCTCCCCATTTAGAAATCCTTCTTAGAAGAAGAAGGTACTTTCGACGCCTTCCAAGCTTTCCAAGCAAGGAATTCCTGATACTCTGCGTCTTGATCGTCTTGTTCGATCTTGGTCTCACGGACTGGTCGTCCGGCCGGCTTCTGCCAACCGGGGGCGGATTCTCTGTGGTTAGGGCAATCTTTCATAAGCCCTTTCTTTCCACATTTGAAGCAGAGTCCTAATTTGCGACGTCTGTCTTGTTCAGATCTAGAGAGTCGCGCGTTGCGGACTGTAGTCGTTTCTTCTTCTTCGTCAATGTCGATCTTGTCTATGTCCATTGCGTACGGGTCATTTTTCTTCGAGAAGCCTCCTGCAGAACTCATAAGAAGCCTTCTGGATTCGTATTCTCTAGCGGCGTCAATCCAGTCTTTGATGGTGCTCGGCATTTTCTCTCTCATGAGAATTGCTTCTTGGACTTCTTTTCTAAGTCCTTGTCTGAAACATGTTGTTTCAACGTCAGAGTCCGTGCATCGGGCTTCTGCCGAGATTCGCTTGAAGTAAGTGATGTATGCCGAGATAGTGGAGGTTTGCTTTGCTTTCATCATCACGTTGACAGCGGTAAGCGTGTCGTTCTTAGGGAAGAATACCGATTTGAACTCAGTAATGAATTCATCCCATTTCCCCATTGGGGTAGCAGTGTCGTGTTTCCTATTAATCCATCCGGTGGCCCATTGTTGGGCGTGTCCCTTGGTCATAAAAGACTTTGCGAATGCAATACATTTCTCGTGGTTGTCGTATACGTCTTTATTGATGGTAATGTAGGTGGAGACAGTCGTCCACCAGGCTTTCGCCTGTTTCTGCGATCCGTCAAAGTTCGCCGGTCTGTTCAAGTTAAGTTCTCCCATTTTCTTTCTAGGTATGGGTTCTGATGGAGTCTGAGGTGGTGGTGGTGGTGGTGGGTTCGATGGACCTGGTTGATCTGGTCCGTATCTGTCTATGTATTCGTTGTTATCCTGTTGGATAGGTGAACCTGGTTCAGAGAAGTGTTCGTCTTCGTGTTCAGACTCCGAGGAGTACTGTCGTTGTTCGCGATAAGCCACGATGTGTCTCAGGCGACTACTAGGGTAGCGCTGTCTTGTGATAGAGCTTAACCTTTTGTTACGCCGAAGTATAACGCAGGCAAACAATAATCAATAAGACCAAAGGTCTGTCGATACGTTCAAGACAACAGTCTTAAGAACGCCCAAAGTGAAGTCAAGGCTAAGTACCGAAGAGGTAACTTAGAATCAAGTCAGATGTTCAGAGGAAAACCAGCGTAGGTTAAGCTGAAGAATCAGTGTCACCTAGCCAGGGTTTATATAGGATACTGGGTACAGGGTGTGACGTAATAATAGGTATGTATCAGTAAGCACATGCGTAAAGCAATGAGGCGTCTGAGTAATACCGAACTAAATATAGCATGATAAGAGACATGCTTGAAAAGCGTGAATCAAGGGAAAAAGAAGTAAAGTAAACACAGCTGTAACACGTCTGGGCCTAAATAGGCCTCTGTGGTCTGGTATGCACCATGCGGTTGTGAGACATCATCACTTTCCTGTCCCGCTTGCACAGTCAGTAAATGTGGGCAGATGACTTAGAGGTGGTAGTTCGTGTCTCCCATGAGCTACCGATTCCTTATCGTCGTACACATTGTATTCAGGTCTTGGGCCTGAGCCGGTTTGATGAGGGAGTGTGTTGTTTGTTGGGGGTCTCATTAATTTTTGCATGCACAAGGATTGTATTTGCACGGGTGGCGAGGCTAGTAGTACGGATGAAGCGACGGGTGGATATATTTTATGTATTAATTTTTGGGAGTGGGGGGGTGTACTATGTGTGGAAGATTGTGTGTAGGGCATGATATTATCTGCTTACTGGTAAGTTGGGCGTTTCCCTTTTGATCTCTGGTTTCTTGCTGTTTGGATTGTGGACTTCGTCCCAATTCTGGGGCCATTCCACGATGGTACTTTGGGGAATGGGCATAAACCCCTTGGGTGGGCGATGGAGTGGCATATGGGGCACGCAGATAGGGCTACTGCTGACCTGCAGCCGTCGAGGCTGGTTGGGTAGTCAAGGATGCGTAGGAGGGCCTGGAGGTCTGTCCAGGATTTGGCGGTACGTATAGGGCTGACCGTGAAGACGTTGAAACGGGGAATGGATAGCCCACCCGTTACTTTGAAGTCAAGATGCTCTATCCTAATGGACCGGATGAATTTCCAGGTAGCTTGGTATACTTTTTCTTCGTCATCGATCTCGCTCATGGAGATAATATCATTAATCTCAGCTCTAGTCTCGTCAGAGGCCCATATATCTGCGACCGCTTTGTGGACAAGTTGGGTTGAGGAGGTTGTGAAGCCGGTTAGGCAGAAGAGTAGTTCAGGGGGGTTCATAGCAGCTGAAGCTGTGAGCTTCGAATGTGATGTCACTGGCTGACCATATGCGCTTCTCGAGGAGGAGGTCCTTCATCTCTTCTGATATGTTGTGGACTAGGAATCCAATGGGTAGTTCCTTGCTCTCTTTCCCGCCTTGGGGTTGTGGCGGGGAGACGCGTACTGGTTGAGCGTCTTGGTGTACGAAGTTCATGACGATGCCCACTTTTGTGCAGATGCGTTCAGCTAGAATCACCGCTTTTTCGACTACGTCTTTACCAGTGTGGTCAAAGACTTGTACTACAAGTTTGGGGTGGGGGACTTGGAACCAAGCGAGCAGTACTTGATTGTCTAGATGGTCGAAGATCTGGGCTGAGTGCGACATGTGGGTGTGTGGGAAGCTGCCTATTGGCATTGGCATGAACTGAGGGAGTGTGGTGCACTGGTGGGGGCCATCATGCCGGACCGTTGAGCGGTTCTTTTCGGCGAAGGCCAAGTGGTCTAGAATGGCTCTTTCCTCCTCGTTTGGGGTGTATGTAGGGGAGGGGGATGGTGGGGCGCTCATTTGGTGGTCGTCAGGCAGGCTTTTTGGGGCATGTATCGACTGTGCAAGGTCACTATGGGGGGACGTGATAGTGTGCGAGGCAGGTTCAGGGGGTGGGGGTGGTACTGGGAGTACGTCAGGGGAGAGGTTAATGCCTCTTGTGGTTCTACCGGCCGGGGTTGGGGTAACCGTATTGGAAGGGGATGTGACCATGGGCGGTGAGGTAGCTGTAGGTGGGGTCTTATCGTTTCCTAGCAGCAGGGAGTCCATTTGGTCGTCTTCCGGTAGGATGTTAGGGGGGAAGAATTTTGGCCCAGCACAGGGGGGTATTTGGGGGGAGTCAGGGAAGTGAGGGGTAAGGGCAAGTGGCTTGGGTGGTGGATTTGATAGAGGTTTGTTCCTTTTCTCTCATGTTCCGAGTGGGCAATGTTTTTGGGTGTAGAGTGCAGGTTTATATCTGTGTAGTTTAGTCGGCGCATGTGAAGCTATGTGGTGCTTGTCGTTATACTCGTCGGGGTGTGTCAGATTCTTATTAGTGGTGGTTTCTCAGGAGTGACTCGTTTATTTAATGGTTAGCATATATGTGTTCATTATCTTACATCGTGTTTCTGGTGGGGCTCGTTTCAGTTTAGTTTGGTGGTATTCGCTGGTGTTATGTCTGTCTTGATGTAATTGGGTTTGTGGTTGTGCTGCGGATTGTTATACTTTGGTGCTCGTTTTTGTATGGTTTCGTCAGGATGATTCGTGTGTGGAGTCGGCTGTGTCGTACTTATGTGTACCATATGTTGTGATGAGGGAGATTGTTTTATATTGTATTATATTGTGTTGAGGCCAGTTGTTCACTGTGAGCAGTGCGTCGCTCTACCTTGCCTGCGAAAATGCGTGGGAAAAACTGTCCATGGTGGTGGTACGAGTTCAAGGGCCCCCCGTTGACGTTGACGTGCTTTGCCTACTCATGATGTTGCTTGCTCTTGTATTCAAACCATTACGTGGTGACTGTTGCGATGACGAGAGTAATGCTACTTACTAATTATAGGGTGCCTAATCTTTGCGAGTCGCTCGTTGTGCAGACTAATCGAGGAACTGATGAAGCACGATGTATAGATGTAACTATTACAATGCGGGGTTCTGACTATGAGTGACGGAGACGATGGTCTGAGTGATTTGGGCGAAGGTGCGAAGCACCTCCCAGTCCCGAGCTGCATCCTGTGCAAGAAAAGGTGAGCTGCAAATCCCATAATGGTAGGAGTCCTGACAACTGCATCAAGCGAACCGCGGATACCCAGGACAGTAGGAGAAGGGACGAGTACTCACGTGGTGCGTCAACGTTGGCAGTGGCATTGTGTACCGTAGAAATTCGTCTTGTAGGATTGGGGTGGCTTGAAGGTATGGTGCGAGTATCTGAGCGTGGTTGTGAAGGTAGAGCTGAAAAGTGTCGCTGGCCCAGCGACCCATTGTTTTCACAACATTGAATGGGATGTTTCGGAGGAGGTATTCCAGGGTAGCACCTATCCTGATGGCGTGGCCCTGTAGCAGCTCTAAGCTGGCGTCCTTGGCTGCTTCGGCGAGGCGAGATATGAATCTCGTTTTTGTCAGGGGGTGGTAAGAGTTTCCGAATTTGTATGCAAAGAGGGCTTTATCATGTGGGGGGTTATTGATGTGAAAGTGGTTGGCCAGTGCTGTGCTTGGGTCTGTAAGGCCGTGTTGCTTGGCCCAGAAGATGTCTTCAGCTGCCAATTTGTGATGACTTTGTGTGCGGGAGATGGAAAACGGTGGTTACAAGGCCATTTCGATCTGTTTCTGCGACGGATATCAGAGTGCTTCACATGGATTGCTGGGTCAAAGGATGATAGGTTGGGAACTGTGAATTCCCCCGCCCTAGCGATGGAATAAAAGGCTGTTGTGAGGCAACTGCCTACTGCTGGCGTCAAGAGGGTCCTTGGAATCCAGCTTTTGCAGAAGGTGGGTGATGAAATCTATCGTGTAAGGTTGATGCTTCTTCAGTTTTGATGTTTGAGGGGTGAGGTTCTTGGCGGCCTTCAGCATTGTGATTATCTGGTTGCCGGTCACTGAATCAGGCCACTCTTTTCCAGTGTAGGATGTGCCATGCGCAAATGCCGTGGACGTAGTTACCTATGGTGCTGCCCAAATAAGATCCTGCTAGGTCGGAAATGAAGGCCGAAATGAGGTCGGAAGATGCGGGGGCTCGTGATGCTTCATTGATGGATTTGCAAGTCGCAGTACACGTGAAATGCGAGGATGCCACTGCCGTAGATTTCTTGGGTACTGCTTGCCCATGCGTGGATCATGACGTCTTGTATGCGCTGTGTGTCAGCATGTGGGAGGGGTGATGATGCTGAGCGTGAATTTGCTGGGCACCAGAGGCAAAGCCGCTCTTTTGCTGTGCAATGAGGGCAGCAGTGTAGATTCTTGTGGCGTGAGTTTAGCGGGATAGATTGTGGCTAGATGCGCCAGATTGAGGAAGGGAGGCCTGAAACTCGAAATTTTGGACTTACTAAGTTTGCGTCGCTTTGAAGAGTTCTTCTCCCTGATGTCGGAGCTTGTCATTGATGTGGGTGCGATGGCGGTGCTCGTTATCAGGCATTTGATGGCGTTTTGATGACTGCACTGCAAGACCTGTGTTCAGAAGGGAGCGCAGGACTGTTAAAGTCGGTGATGAACTTCCGAAGGGGATGAGGGATGGGGATTGGGGGGAGAAGTTGGGATAGAGGTGGATAGATGCCTCTGGAGGGGCCATCTGCAGGGTTGTGTGCGCTGGGTACATAGTGGGTGAGGAAAGAGCATCGTGAAGATGCTGCGATCTCGTGGATTCGCTTGAATACTGTGTTGGTAGCCTTGTTGCAGCTCCATCCCTTCCACCAACCTTCAATGACGCCTCAATTATCGCCAAAAATTTTGATGCAATTGCCTTCTGGGCAGTGAGCAGTGAGTGCGAGGATGAGGAGCTCCATTCCAACTGCTTCCGCCCATCCGATGTCCCGGTCATCGGCTTTCCAGCCCGGGAGGAGACACCAGGCCCACCATCTGCCTTTGATCCATATCGCGATGCCAGTGCCTGAGCTAGCGTCAGAGTAAGCCGCGGGTTCAATGACTTCAATGGGTCTGGGGATGGGGCGGGAGACGTCGGATTGTGCGAGGTTGGCTTTCCACCATCAGAGGTCTTCGGCTGTGTGTTTGGGAGGGGTATGTGGCATGTGCGGATGGTCACAGAAGATGGAAAACATGGATTTGAAAGATACGAGGTAAGCTCACCCTGCTGGGAGAACCAAGGAGGCATGGAGTAGCTTTCCGTATAGTTGCTGGACTTCTTGTAGGGTGTGGGTGGGTTGGGTCTCCCATTCCCAGATGGCCACCAGGTATTTTTCCTTCTTCTTCTGTGGGATCGAGACGGTGCGGGTCGCCAGATCCCAGAGAAATCCGATGAAGGGTGCACATGACGAGAAGACAATGTCTTTTGCCAGCTCCCATGGAATTCTGAGGAGTTTGGACAGCCAGCCGATGTCGTCAAAGCAGTAGGTGAACAAGGCATCTTCAGGGGAATGTGGTGAGGTAGATGATAGATCTTGGATGGGGAAAGCTTGGTCTTCGTCGTACTCTTCGACTCGGCCATTTGGCATGGTGGATCCCCGATACCATTTTCAACCCCCGTCCACCAGGAGCCCTCCGTTCTGTGCGATGATGGCAGCGCGAGATTTTCGGAGGCTATTATAACTGTCCAGATGTTCGCGACGAATGTGTATGAAGAAGTGGTCATCTGACCCATTTGGACACGGGACCCATTCCCTGGGACCTAAAGATATCTGCACCTGCATCTGCCACTTCACCATAGGTGCCTGCAGATGGGGAGAAACCAAAGCAAAAACTTGAGTCGATTGCAAAGCTGTCGGTTCCCGTTCTGACCACGAGTCCCGGCCATTGAGATGGGTGGAGTGGGATTGTGCGATATGCTTCGGCGACGTCACGTACAGCAGCTTGCGAACCTGGTGGAAGGGACCAGACGAGGAGGCAGATGGTTGCTGCTGTGCCCCATGTACAGGGATATAGGTTTGAATCAACTGAGGAATTAATAGAAGATACTGTAGGGGAAGGATGGAGGGGAAATGAAAGGTTCTGTACCAGCCGAAATTTCCCTGGTTTCCCTGGTTTTGGGACCATGGAAAGGGGGGCTGTCTGGAAATGACCAATGAGTGTCTCAGTTTCGGATCTTGATAGCGGTCCGATATATCGTCCCATGAGATATTCGTGATTAAGTATGGTAGTGAAAGCGCTATGGTGTTCGAGGAGGGAAGTGCTATTAGGTGGGGTGTAGGTGTGAGATATATCGGGGATGCTACCCATGAAGCCAATACGTAAACCGTTTGGTATATGTGCATATTTATGGATAAGGTTTGTGGAATTAAGGAAGTGCAACCAGACTTCGGGGTGATAGGGAGTGATAGCATTAGACATTCTCGCTTTGAGGACATTCTTGAGCTCCGTGGCTCTTCGCTCCGCATCCTGAACATTCGTGTACTGTGAGAACGAGAGGTGCTTGAGCACCCCTTCGGTCTTTGCCAGTTGTAGCAGAGTTTGCATCCGTCTGGATTGACGAGATGCCCCTCTGCGTTTCGGTGGCACCGAGTTTTGGTCTGTTTGTCCCAAAGGAACTCGGATTCGCACTTGTGGATGTTGTGATGGAATCGGCCAAGACAGAGGGCGCAGGCTGATGGCCCGGATTGACCTGCGCCCATTGGAAAAGACTGCTGGCTTTTCTGGGGCTTCTTTCCGGGCTGGTTGGCGCTTGGAATGCGGTAAGGATGATAGCAGTCATTGCTTGACGGAGAGGGTGCTTCGGCCCCTGATTGTTTGCTGCGGTTTGCCCCCGCCTCGCGGCCTCAGGAACACGAGGACACGTTGGGCATTGCGTTCTGTAGCTGGTTTGGTGAAGCGAGGCAAGAGCGGGGGGGGGGGAAGGGTGGGAGCATGATGTGGTTGGGTAGTGGGTAGCAAGAGCAGGAAGCAGCAAGAGATAGCGGGAGCCGAAGATAGCGGGAGCGGGAGATAGTGGGAGTGAAAGATAGCAGGAGCAGGAGATAGCAGGAGTGAGAGATAGCGGGAGCGGGAGATAGTGAGTGCCAGATGTGGTGTGCAGGGTGTAGCGCAAGTGAAGCGAGCAAGGTGTGGTACGAGCGCGGCGAGCAGGGCAGGAGTTAAGCAAGCGGGAGCAGGACGTCAGGGTCAGCAGGTCATGTGAAAGGGAAGGAAGAGTTGTGTTAGTTACGAGTTTGGATGTTGGGAGTGATGGGCATACCATTTTAATGCCTTTGTCTCACTCCGCCTCCCAGACATCATCTGATAGGGTGTTGTAAAGAACGTTGTTGAAAATACTGATATTGAATCCCTGGTTTTGGGTGAGGCGGTCGTGCCATTCGCAACATATGAATCCTGCATAACGAAGCAGGGTCTTCTCCCCGCGTGAGCGCGTTCGATGTTCGTGGTTGGTAATGAGCATGAAAAACATGGCTAGAGCCTGCTGGTGCTTCTCCGGCCAGTTGCACTTCTCGAGATGGATGAGGAAGCTGGTTTTCGCCAGGTCGAATTGCCACCAGGAGAGGTCGTGGTCTTGCGGAGCTTTTTGCGAAGCATTGAATGATGCAACTGGTTTGAGGGCAACCATGCCCTCGACTTTTGCAAAGCCATAGGCATCTTCAGAAGAGGACCTGGAGTTGTCAGAGGCATCGCAACAGCCGTCCGGACTAAAATACCATAATTCTACATACTCCATGTTTTTTATTTTCTGTAGGGCGAACTGGGAAGGACGTGGGATGAGAACGTCTGCAACGGTTGTGTTGGTGTCGAAGTCATTAATCTTGGGTTTCTTCTTCTCGGCTTCACGCCGTTCTTCTTGCTCTTTGGCTTCCTTCTCGGCTCGATTGAGCTCTTCCCGATCCCACTGTGCACGGGCATCTGCTTCACTTTGTTGTTGCCAGAGGTCAATGCACTCCTGGCGCTCGATCCTCCAACCTTCTGCCATCTGCACGAGAGCATCCTCTCTGGTTGTTCCTCCTATAGTGAGTGTGTTAAGCCACCCTGCATATGCAGCGGACTCGAAATTGGGTTGCGCCTCAAGCGCTGGGTCGGCGAGAATGCGGTCCATGTGGAGCCGGGAGAAAACGGAAGTTCGTTCAATGTTGTTCCGGGAGAGAGAATAGAAAAGGAAATGCAATGCGAAGGATACGTAGCTGTGGAGAAAGAAAAGAAAAGAAAAGAGACGAAGTCGTTGAGGACGACTGAGCTGAGAGGAGGGACCGTTGCAGTACGAAGGCAAAGGGTTCGTACTGCACCCGTTGCTTCGCGCAAAGACTAAACTCTAGTTCTTCGCTCGTGCCTCGTTACGTAATAGAGTCACAAGTTTGGCCGAGGTGGATTCTTGCTTAGGAACCACGTGCAGAGCCGCTCACAGCGCTCACCCATCAACATACGCGCAACATCGGCGACAATACGAGGCAGATTGCAGTGCAGTGCATGCGGTGTATCTGTGGATCAGCTCGTGTCACGAAGATATTCGCATGTAGGTGTTCATGTTTTTCCTATTGATTTCATTGACTTACAATAATACAAACCCTAGTCGGGCCTAGTACAGACTACAATCAACCGGCATTTTGCCATTCTGCCACACGGCGCTGCAGTAGTAATTGCCCTCCAAAAGTGCTTCTGCTTATACGATGGGTCGCAGAGTCCCAGGAAACGTGGTACCGAACGAGAAGCATGCGTGCCAAAAAAATTGCAAGTCGGTCCCTGTCTACTGACGGTCTAGTTAGTAGGGTTTGGATCATGGGTCGTGAAGTCGAGACGTGACACCAATGAGATATAATGAGAGATTTGAATTATGCTTGCCAAATGAATTGCAAGCGGGTTCCCCGTGCAGGTACTATCCGTTGCTGTCGTTGCCCAATCATTGCCTTACTAATCCTCCTACTAGCTGAGCGTAATGTGGGGTATGTCCGTCGGAGGTAGTACACTCTCCAATGGTTTCTCTTAATGGTCAAGTGCCACCAGGTATGAGCGAAACGTCAACAGGCCAGCAGTGACCTATCCACATGACAAGTACTGGCAGGTACAGGTAGCCATCTTCGGGGTACGCAAATGCTCGAATCTCCCTTCCTAAATCAGGGAAGGGCCTTCTTCCAGCATAGCGGCGGAGTAGTTATTCTCTGCCAGCAGAACCGTCCTCCAATAGTTCTTCAAGACTTCGACACTACGGGCTGTCGAGACGTGTCACTAATGGAATAGAATGAGCAATTTGAAGTACGCTTGGCAGCTAGATTTCAGGCAGGTGTGATGATTTTCTGCCAGCAGAACTGCTCTCCGATAATTCTCTGACACTACGGGCCGTCGGGCCGTGGCTAATGAATTGGAATGAGGCAATTGCCAAAGTGCTACGCTTGCCAACTAGATTTCAAGCGGGTCCATACAGGCGTCTGTCAGCGTCGTTGCCTTGCTAAACCTCACAACAGGCTTAAAGAGGCAGCTATAACTTGAATGCCGTTACACGAGTTCTTTTCTTGCGCTCCTCCCATCAATCATGCTAAAACTGCTTGACCTGTGCATTTTTGACAACGCGCAGCTCGTTCTCGGTGCTGCCGCTTGCCTTGGGGTAGTAGGAGTATTTTTTCGGGTGTTCCCTCCTCAGTCAAAGAGTCGCCTTCCTCTTCCACCTTCCCCTCCCACTTGGAGGCTTTTGGGACACGTCTTACCGCCTCGCAAGTAAATTTTCGCGTTTCTGATTGTCATTCAATGCTGATCGTGTCTTATCATTGACAAGTTCCTTTCTCACAATAGCGGGATGGATTAACGAATACGGCCCTCTAATCACCGTTCGGTCGGGATTTGAGAAAATCGTTATCATCGGCCGTTACAAAGTCAGTCCATGCACGAGATGTCATAGCGAGCCTCAACATTCTGTTGCAGGCCGCAATGGATATTATGGAGAGCCAGGGCGGAACGCTAGCTGATCGCCCTCGCAAGATCGCTGCTGGAGAAATCTTTAGCGGCGGACTGGGCATCGCCTCTACACCCTTTGGAGACAGGTTTCGTCGGATGCGTAGGTCAGTAGATGCTTCTCCTATCTTATCTTACTTTTTAACGTGATGCAGAGCACTTCATACGCATCTCCAACCTAAAGCGGCTGAGGCTTATCAACCCCTACAGATGTCACACGTGAAGAACACTGTCCTCGACATTCTTGATGATCCATACAATTTCCAGAACCATGTGATAACGTGAGTGCCTACGCTTATGATACTACATTGCTTACATGTATTTTGAAGTTATGCTGCGACAACAATTATGAAAGTTGCCTATGGGAATAACACGCCCTTCTCTGCGACCGATCCCCGAGTCATTGAGATGCACGAAATCATGAAATTGGTTGGTAAAATCCTGCGCCCTGATGCGTACTACCTGGTGGAGTCGATCCCGTGGCTCAAACACATTCCTTGGTATGGCCGAGAATTGAAACAGGGGTTCGAGAGGACCAAGCAACTCCACGTCGGTCAGCTGAACCGCGTGAAAGAGCAAATGGTATGCATTGCCTTGCCAATCTTCACATAATATCTGAGTCGTTCCGCAGCAGAGCAATGTAGAAATCGGCCCTTCATTCATGAAATATATGCTAGAAAATAGGGACGTTCATGGCTTGACAGATCCCGAGACTGCTTTTCTTGCTGGGGCCTTTTTTGGAGCTGGATCCGATACGGTGAGGTTTTTCTCGTCGTGTCCCAAGATATGTGACTGAAATTAGGTGTCAGATTGCTGCGGGCATATGCATAGTGCTCCTGGCGGCGGTATGTTTCCCCGAGGAACAAACTCAAGTCCAAGCCGAGCTCGATGCGGTCATAGGAAGGCACCGAGGTAACTCGATTCTCTATTGCAGTTCTGTAAATCCAATGATCTCCGCACTCAAGCACCAACCTTCGCTGATCAACAGTCACTGATCCGCCTGCCCGCCTTCATCTCTGAGGCTTTGAGATGGAGACCTGTTACTCCCAATGGTGGGTATCGTCATCATGGTGTTGCACTGACAATTTACTACATTCACACTGTAGGAATGGCTCACCGAACAACTAAAGACGTGATTTGGGTAAGTAATCTCTGAACAGTTTATCGTGCAAATAATGATCTGGCTCGTCAGGAAAACTATTGTATTCCAGCTGGGACTACAGTATTCGGCAACCATTGGTGAGCATCGTGCTTCGACTTGTCAAGATACGACGGACCTAACAGTCACTGCCTTAGGGCTATCTGTAGAGATCCAGAAGTCTTTCCCGAGCCTGACGCGTTCATACCTGAACGCTGGATTAACGACCAAGGCCGCCTGAGAGATGATTTGACTAATTTTGTCTTTGGGTTTGGTCGACGGTAAGCATCGTTTTTGAGCAATTCATTCTTTTAATGCCATTCCTTCTAGTGTATGTCCCGGACAACATGTCGCAACCAGGTAAAGCTAGTTTCCACGCATGTGGCTTTCCGGGCTCAGTTCGATTGGCACAGATCGGTGTTCATAAACGCCCTGCTTATTCTTTGGGCCTTCCGGCTCACTCTGGATCCTGCCAAGCCGTTGAACGACATGGGATTCATGACTGGGGAGAGGTCAAATCGGCCGTGCACCATCAAGACTGAGACGAGGATTCCGGAAATGGAGCTCAAACGCATGATGCAGAATTATCCTGAGGCTGCGTGATTGACGGTGGATGAATCGCCAATGTTCCGAAGCATCACCCTAGGATTAGTACGCGCTGTAATTCACCTTGTAACTCATTCGATTGTGGGTTGTGTACTGTATAACTATAGCCATCGTCATCGTTTCACTGCAGTTTTGTCACATTCCGTCAGCATTCTAGTTCTAGGAAATATGCTCCCCATCGTTGAGGTAATTTTCACGTAAATCTGAATCATCGCAAATGCAGATCGCAGTGGTGGATTGTATGCATGCCTTGGACCTCGTATTATCTGTAAATATTGAATTCGGTGGTATCGTCCTTCGGGGCAGGTACGTATGTGAGCTAAGCAGTAGTATCTCTCCATAGCCGAAAAAATACCTATTCCACCGATGTCCATGGTCCAGGCGTTGCAGGCTCGTTGTTGCGACAGCAATGTCAGTGGAATGACAGTTCAACGTTTCAACGTTGAACGAAGTAGAAGTAGAGCTGATCACGAGCAAATTGACGGTCCAGCTTACCCAAACGGCAAGTCGCGCGGTAACTTACTAAGTTCCGTTCCTGTCGCGTAAGCAACAGCTTCCGGAAGCATCCCACTGTGGTATGCACGATTACGTGTGGCAGCAATTGTCTACTGATTCGTTCACGAGCCTGCTCTATGATTTGTTGCACGAAGATACGTTCTCACGAATCTCAGTGTACCCATCGGATATCCACCTGTGCCTATCTTTTACTTATCAGCGGGTGGTAGTTTACTTATCAGGCAGTTCTGTCAGGGTTTCTGTTCGTATGGCACGGGCTTACTCTATAGTAGGCGCTTTCGTAGATAACGCGATGCAGTGCCAGTGGGACCGGCTTTCTTCGCGCCCTATCCCTTCTTCATTTCATCCCACTAGGTGCGTGCAATATGGAATCTCAGCAGCACGCCATTGCAAAGGCAGACGAGGCATTGCTCGCCGAGCTCGGGTACAAGCAGGAGTTCAAGCGTGCATTCACACCTCTAGAGGTATCTGCGTTGGTACTAGCTATAGTTATCGGAGAACTGATGGCGAAGACGACTACAGGTATTTGGTATAGCTTTCAGTATCATCGGCTTACTCCCTTCCATTGCGTACGTTGTCCTCTCTTCCTTACTGCCCTTCTTTACCCCTAAGGGTGCTATTTGTCTCACCCGTTCTGCATAGTTCTGTTCTGTTTTACGCCGTGCCTAATGGAGGATCAGCCTCAATGGTGTGGGGTGTACGTGCTTCCTTTACTAACTTCATGCGCGAATGATGCCGATCGGAAGGCTGACACATCCGCTTGCCGGTATCCCATACCTATTTGCCTATAGTGGGCAGTCGCGAGTCTGTTTATTCTCTGCGTAGGAATGTCGATGGCAGAATTGGCTTCTGCAGCGCCAACATCCGGTGGCGTGAGTCTCTTTGGTCTTCGTGACGTGGTATCCCCGAATGACGTGGATGAACTAAAGTTATACTTCTGGACACACTCCTTGTCATCTCCGCGGTGTAGGAATTTACTTGCCTGGATTGTTGGGTGTAAGTCTTTCACGTTGATTTTGACTAGCAGAGATATAATGTCCGGATAACAGACTCAAACACCATTGGGACCATAGCGTCGGTCGGTGAGACGCTCATTACGTTGTGATGCTTTAATTTGCTTAGCATGAGCGTCTGGATAGCATCTATCGATTGGGGATGTGCAGTGCAAATCATGGCTGCAGTATCCATTGGCTCGGGTCAGACCTTTACCGCCACAAGTGCGCAAACATTGTGCGTCATTCAAGACATCGATCCACTCAACGCAACCTACTCATGATGTTGAACACCTAGCGGAGTCTATGTTGCAATAGTCCTATCTCACGCAGTGATATGCTGCTTGGGAACTGCTGTGCTGGCCAGACTGCAAACAGTTTATGTCGTACTCAATGTGGGGTTCGTGCTGCAGTTATATAGGCACTCAAAAATACGGGCAGCTGAAATACTCCGGCCAGTTTATGTCTCGCCGTTATTATTGGCCTTCCTGCTGCCACCCCGAAGGAGAAAATGAACAATGCAAGCTATGCGCTTGGTAATTTCACAAACTGTTAGTGGATGCATTCCGCTGATGAACACCACTGATCTCAGAATGATATATACAGTGAACGGCTGGGTAGATGGTTACGCATTTATTCTGAGCTTCCTTGCACCATCCTGGACAATTGGTATGTTCTTACAGATATTTGTACATTCCATTAGTGTTGATATCATGCTCAGGCTCCTTTGACTCGAGTGTGCATATCAGCGAGGAATCGTCGAATGCTGCTACTGCTGTTCCATGGGCCATTGTAAGCCTCTATTTTCGCATTTGTAGTGCAAATGCTAAACGCATTCCAGGTCAGCGCCATTGGGATTGCAGGAATCCTCGGCTGGGGTGCGTATTTGTTCATGTAAACATCTCAAAAGCTACTAACCACCTTGCAGCAATCAACGTATCTCTTGCATTCTGCATGGGCACCGACGTGAACTCCCTTCTCAACAGCCCGATTGGACAGCCCATGGCTCAAATATTTTTCAACAGCTTCGGCCAGAAAGGGACGCTTGCATTATGGTCCATCGTCGTCCTTGTTCAGTAAGTGGACAGTTGTGTCATTGGAACTATGATTGACTGGGCGCAGATATATGATGGGCTCGAGCATGGTCCTTGCTTCATCCCGCCAAACATTCGCATTTTCTCGTGATGGCGCACTGCCGTTCTCATCCTGGCTGTATCGCATGAACAGTTTCACCAAGACACCCGTCAACACCGTTTGGTTTGTCGCCGCCATCTCGATTATCCTCGGCTTGTTGTCCTTCGCGGGCCCGCAAGCTATCAATGCTATCTTCTCTCTTTCCGTGACAGCGCTGTACATCGCATATGCGATCCCAGTCGTGGCGCGGTTTGCGTTCAAGAACAATTTCAAGCCTGGTCCATTCAATTTGGGCATATTTGTGAGTGGGAGGCTCGGTGCTTACCAGATATACGTTGACCATTGATCCGTAAATTGAAGAGCTTTCCGGTCGCTGTCATTGCGGTGTCCTACATGTTCATTATGGACATTGTATTTTTCTTCCCGACGATGCCACAAACCGGCGTTGCGAACATGAACTACACCGTGGTTGTTCTAGGTGGTATACTCATCTTGTCTATCCTGTGGTACTATTGCCCTGTGTATGGCGGCGTGCATTGGTTCACGGGCCCAGTGTCGAATATCGAGAAGCCGAGTGAGGAGGGTGCGTCGAGTATTCGGGGGTCGGTGGAGAAGAATGTTGGTGTAGACATCGGGGAGTTATCTGTTGGGCCTTGATAATAGAAAGGTGCCGATATTAGGTCCATGGTAGATTTAATTTGCTCACCCCGTGTGCTGTTATATATCAACCGTCCAGGTAATACAATTTTCCACATGCATTTCTTTTCGTAGGTTCCAATTTTGGGAACTTCTCCAGGTGTGCATTATCGTTCTTATTTCCTGATGCGCCTGGACCGAGGAAAAGTAAAGTTCGTTTGCTAGCCCGAAGGATTGAATGGTGAAAATGTGAGAGCCGAGGTGCTGCACGTATGCCATTACTTACCCCTTAATCTTATGGACATTGCCAATGTGAACATTGAGGTTCCTTGCACTGCGAGCCAGATTCATAGTCGACAGCTATGATATACAATCCGAAATAGGAACAAGTTACAGGTAGAGTTACTGCGAGTACTCAGGCTTACACGAAGGGTGTTCTACTCGGAGGGATGCTTCACAACTTGAATATTGGACATTCTGGTTCTTCGTTCTCTCGCTACTGGCGATCGATCTCATCCAAAGACGTGACCTCAGGATAATTCTGCATCATGTGCCTCAGCTCCGTTTCGGGAATCTTTGTCTCAATCTTAATGGTGCAGGGCCGGTTTGATTTTGGTTTCTCCCCATTCATGAATCCCATGTCATCCGACGGCTTGGTAGGATCCAGAGTGAGCCGGAAAGCCCAAAGAATAAGCAGGGCGTTTATGAACACCGATCTGTATCAACCGAAGTGAGCCCAGAAGGCCATGTGCGTGGAAACTAGTCTTACCTGGTTGCGACATGTTGTCCGGGGCATACGCTGGAAGGAATGTCATTTAAAGAACGAATGACTGAAAGAGGGTACTTACCGCCGACCGAATCCAAAGACAAAATTGGTTAAATCATCTCTCAGGTGGCCTTGGTCGTCGATCCAGCGTTCAGGCTTGAACACGTCAGGCTCGGGAAAGACTTCTGGATCTCGACAGATGGCCCTGAGGCAGTGACTGTTAGGTCCTTCGTGTCTTGACAAGTTGAAGCACGATGCTCACCAATGGTTGCCGAATACCGTCGTCCCAGCTGGAATACAATATTTTCCCTGATAGGCTGGATCATCATTCGCACAAAAGTTGTTCAGAGATCACTTGCCCAGATCACGTCTTTAGTTGTTCGGTGGGCCAATCCTGCAATGTGGATGTAGTAAACTGTAGGTCCAAAACTACAATGACACCCACCATTTGGAGTAACAGGTCTCCACCTCAAAGCCTCAGAGATGAAGGTGGGCAGGCGAATAAGTGATTGTTGGTCGGCGAAGGTGGGCACTTGAGTGCAGAGACCATTGAATTTACAGAACTGTAATAGGGAATTGAGTTACCTCGGTGCCTTCCGATGACCGCATCGAGCTCGGCCTGAACTTTAGCTTGTTCCTCGGGGAAACATGCCGCTGCCAGGAGCACGATGGATATTCCCGAAGCAATCTGACACCTAATTTCAGTCACATATCTAGGACATGGCAATAAATACTTACTGTATCGGATCCAGCTCCATAAAAGGCCCCAGCAAGAAAAGCAGTCTCGTCCTCTGTCAAGCCATGGACATCGCCATTTTCCAGCATATATTTCATGAATGATGGGCCGATGTCCTCATTTCTCTGCTGTGGAAGGACTTGGAGATTATGTGAAGGTTGGAAAGGTAATGCATACCATTTGCTCTTTCACGCGGTTCAGCTGACCGACGTTGAGTTGCTTGGTCTTCTCAAAACCCCGTTTCAATTCTCGGCCGTACCAAGGAATGTGTCTGAGCCACGGGATCGACTCCACCAGGTAGTAAGCATCAGGGCGCAGGACTCTACGAACCAACTCCATAATTTGGCGCAACTCGATGACTTGGGGATCGGTCGCAGACGTGGGCGTGGTATCTCCATATGCAAGTTTCATAATTGTCGTCGCAGCAAAACTTCAGAATACCTGTAAGCAAAGTATTATCATAACCAAAGGCACTCACGTCATCACATGGTTCTGGAAATTATATGGGTCATCAAGAATGTCGAGGACAGTGTTTTTCACGTGTGACATCTGTAGGGGTTGATAAGCCTCAGCTGCTTTAGGTTGGAGGTGCGTATGAAGTGATCTGCATCACGTTAAAAAGTCAGATAAGATAGGAGAAGTATTACTGACTATTAACCTACGCATCCGACGGAACCTGTCCCCAAAGGGTGTAAGGACAATGCCCAGTCCGCCACCAAGAATTTCTCCAGCAGCAATCTTGCGAGGACGATCAGCTAGTGTTCCGCCCTGGCTCTCCATAATATCCATCGCGGCCTGCAACAGAATGTTGAGCCTGGGTATGACATCTTGTGCAGGGACTGACTTTGTAACGGCCAATAACAACGATTTTCTCAAATCCCGATCGAACGGTGATTAAAGGACCGTACTCGTTAATCCATCCCGCTATTGTGAGAAATGAACTTGCCGGCGATAGGACACAAAGTCAGCATTACAGAACAAGCAGTTAAACACGAAACTTTACTTGCGACGCGGTAGGAAGTGCCCCCAAAGCCTCCAAGTGGGAGGGGAAGGTGGAAGAGGAAGGCGACTCTTTGACTGAGGAAAGTACACCCGAAAAAAAACTCCTACTACCCCAAGGCAAGCGGCAGCCCCGAGAACGAGTTGTGTGTTGTCAAAAATGCGCAGGTCATGCAGTTGTAGCATGACTGATCGGAGGAGCGCAAGAAAAGAACTCATCGCAAGTGCATTCAAGGTACAACTGGCTCTTTAAGTCCCGTTGTAAAGGTTAGCAAAGCAATGCCACTGACAGACGCCTGGATGGTCTCGCTTGCAATCTAGTTGGCAAGCATACTTCAAATTCCTTATTCTATTCCATTAGCCACGTTCCGACTGCCCATAGTGTTGGAGACTCGATTGTTGGAGGGCAGTTCTGCTGGCAGAGAATAAACATAGGTATTTGAAATCTAGTCGACAGACATACTTCAAATTCTATCCATCAATGCCAAGTCTCGACAATATGTAGTGTTGAAGAATTATTGGAAGACAATTCTGCTGGCAGGAAATAACCACTCCGCCGTTTGGCTGGAAGAAGTCGCTTCCCTAATCTAGGAAGGCAGACTCGAGCAGTTGCTCCTGCCATACAAAGACAAACCGCTCCGAAGGCAAGCTGCGTGTTGTCAGAACTTGAAATGCAGTGGTTAGGCAGCTGTAAGTTCGTAACATGGCTGTTAGGAGGAGCGCAAACAGGGAATGAAGGAGCTCATCGTATCTCATGGTGTAATTCAGTTATGAATGGCTGTTTTAAGTACTACATGCGGCATGCCAATCGTGCTCCGAAGACGGTCACTCGTACCTACCTGTGTCATAGTGTGGATGTCGCTGCTGGCCTGCGACGTTTCGCTCACACTCCACATTACCAACCTAGAAGGAATTAGCAACTCATTTGGCAAAAATGAGTAATTCAAATTTCTCGTATTGGTCTTGACTCGTCACTCCGCGACCTGCAGTGTAAGCAGAAGTACTTTTGGAGGGAAAATTTTGCCGCAGCACCGGCGGAATGACAGATTCAATAACCACTTCTGCCACTTGGCTGTAGTGAAGGTCCTAAGGTTTATAAGTCGATGAAATCAATCATGAGAAACACGAACATCCAAATGTCTTCTTCGTCATACGGGTTGGTTAATAGATATCTTTGGTGACGGTTCGATTTGCCGCCATTATTTATCGTTGTATATGGAGGTGGGCATCCCGGCTATGAGAATGATGCGTCACGGGCTCACCTGTCTTCGCATCCCAGATTTTGACTGAGGGCGCCAACTCTGAGTCATTGTGTCCACCAGTAGATGACTGCACAAGCGTCACGATTCGTATCCAGTCTTGATTGGCTAGAGGATGATATCCAATTTGAAGTCTCAATTCTCCACGTTCCACATTATTCATCTCGCTTTTCTTGGCGACAAAATCAAAGTCTATCCCACCATCATGTATGATAAGTGTTGTCTTTCCAAGGAGGAGTTGAGCACATTATGAATCATGATGGTCTCGTGAGGCCAGGCATAAATTACGTGAGCCGAACCGTTCGCTTCAGATGACAAAGCCACAAGTTGCCAACCAGAGCTCATCAGACTCCCAGAAGAGTCTCTCAACGCTTTTTGAAGATGACCGACCAAAAACTCACGTGTGCAATGACATTTATACCCTCTCCGTTCTCCACGTCCCACCGCATCGCAGTTCTATCGGGCCCCCAGATCTGCTCACATTTGACTCCACAACGCGTCTGGTGTCCTTCCACAACCTCGTTAACCACTTTCTTCCCGTCAAGAGATAACGCTGTGATCCACGTTGCACTTTCTCCGACCGACCGGGCTCTAGGCGTCCCATATCAGAATTCGCTCCGCTCTCCAAGTCCCATACTTGCATGGTGGTCCTTCAAATAAATTTCTGGCGCGGCGTTATCGCTGATGTTTCCTATGTCCCAGCGATTGGTGACGACATACTATAATTTCAACTGCGGAGCGCAGGCTGTTTCAGTCAAAGTCAACAGTCTACTTACGAGCGCATGTTTCCCAAAAAGTCCAGACCCGTAGACAAGTCTCCCTCAGTTCAGATTCAGTGCGCTGTGCAGTTGAAGCGTCGGACCCAAGCGCCCAAGCCGCTTTTGGTGAGTGTGATCACAAATTCCTGTTCTTAGAGTCATTCCATCACTCTATCACATAGGTAGGTCGTGGCACGCACCATCTGTCTTGATCACACCTAAAATCCGGTATCTGTTTGCAATTTCGCCTATATTTTCCACACCATCAAGTACCCGTCTCGCTACGCTCCCCCTTCGTGTTATGATTGGTATATCCTTGTAGCACCAGCCTAGAATGCATGTGTCTAACAGCGATGGGAAACCTGTCACGTACAACCGTTGTGGAAGGGCGTGTTTAGTTGCTATCACCAAGATATGTTCTCGATGTCCAACTGAGGCGTCAGGCAGTAAAGGTCCCTGGTCAATATCCAATTGCTACACAGCCCAATGGCTATCTTACGTATCAGCGCGTGGTGGTTTACTTATCAGGCAGTTCTATCATGGTATCAATGTCGTGTTCTGATGGCTTGCTCCATTGAATAAGCGCTATTCCTTGTATATAACTTACACAATGGAGTAGGACCGGCTTTCTTCGGCACCCTGTTCCTTCATTTTTATCCCGCTGGGTGCGCGCAATATGGAATCTCCGCAGCACTCCATTGCAAAGGCAGACGAGGCATTGCTCGCTGAGCTCGGGTACAAGCAGGAGTTCAAGCGTGCATTCACACCCCTAGAGGTATCTGCGTTGCTACGTGCAGTGATTGAGGAACTGATGGCGAAGCTGACCACAGGTATTTGGTATAGCTTTCAGCATTATTGGCTTACTGCCCTCGATCGCGTACGTTGTCCTCTCTTCTTTACCTGCAACTTTTTCTCCCCCCAAGGGTGCCATTTGTCTCACCCGTTCTGCACAGTTCTGTTCTGTTTTACGCCGTGCCTAATGGAGGACCAGCCTCAATGGTGTGGGGTGTACGTGATTCCTGTGGTAACTCCATGCGCGAATTATGCTGATAGATGGCATATTTACTTGCCGGTATCCCACACCCATTCACCAATAGTGGGCAGTTGCCAGTTTGTTTATCCTCTGCATAGGGATGTCGATGGCAGAATTGGGTTCTGCAGCGCCAACATCAGGAGGCGTAAGTCGGTCTGGTCTTCCCGACGTAGTATCCTCGAATGACGTGGATGAACTACAGTTATACTTCTGGACATCACTCCTTGTCATCTCTACGGTGTAGGAATTTGCTTTCCTGGATTGTTGGGTGTAAGTCTTTCACGTCCATTGTGACGAGCAGAAGTATGATGACCCGATATCAGACTCAAACACCATTGGGTCCTATAGCATCTGTCGGTAAGACGCTCATTGTCGCCTTGTGATGCTTTATTTTGCTTAGCATGAGCTTCTGGATAGCGTCTATCGATTGGGGATGTGCAGTGCAAATAATGGCAGCAGCATCCATTGGCTCGGGTCAGACCTTTACCGCCACAAGTGCGCAGACATTGTGCGTCATTCAAGTCACCGATCCACTCAATGCAGCCTACTCATGATGTAAACACCCAGCGGAGTCTATGTTGCAATAGTCCTATCTCACGCGGTGATATGCTGCTTGGGAACTGCTGTGCTGGCCAGACTGCAAACAGTTTATGTCGTGCTCAATGTGGGGTTCGTGCTGCAGTCATGTAGAACACACCAGAATACATGGGAATCTGAAATACTCTGGACAGTTTGTGTCTCGCCGTTATGATTGGCCTTCCCGCTGCCACCCCGAAGGAGAACATGAACAGTGCAAGCTATGCGCTCGCCAATTTCACAAACTGTGAGTGAACACATTCCGCTAGTGAAGTATGAACCTGACTGATATCATAATGATATGTACAGTGAACGGCTGGCCAGATGGCTACGCATTCATTCTGAGCTTCCTTGCGCCGTCCTGGACAATTGGTATGTTCTCACAGCTCTTTGCATATGACATTGTTGTCGATATCGGGTTCAGGCGCCTTTGATTCGAGTGTACATATTAGTGAGGAATCGTCGAATGCTGCTACTGCTGTCCCATGGGCCATTGTAAGCCTCGAATTTCACATTTGTGGTACAAAAACTGAATGCATTCCAGGTCAGCGCCATTGGGATCGCAGGAATCCTCGGCTGGGGTGCGTATTTGTTCATGAAAAATTCTCGAAAGTTGCTGAGCATCTTGCAGCAATCAACGTCTCTCTTGCATTCTGCATGGGCACCGACGTGGACTCCCTTCTCAACAGCCCGATTGGACAGCCCCTAGCTCAAATCTTCTTCGACAGATTCGGCCAGAACGCGACGCTTGCATTATGGTCCATCGTCGTCCTCGCTCAGTAAGTAGGACAATTGTGCCCTCTGAACTATGATTGACTGGATGCAGATATATGATGGGCTCGAGCATGGTCCTTGCTTCATCCCGCCAAACATTCGCATTTGCTCGTGATGGCGCACTACCGTTCTCATCCTGGCTGTATCGTATGAACGGCTTCACCAAGACGCCCGTCAACACCGTTTGGTTCGTCGCCGCCATCTCGATCATCTTCGGCTTGTTGTCCTTCGCGGGCCCGCAAGCTATCAATGCTATCTTCTCTCTTTCCGTGACGGCACTATACATCGCATATATCATACCAATCGCAGCGCGCTTCGCGTTCAAAAACGATTTCAAGCCCGGTCCATTCAATTTGGGCATCTTCGTGAGTCGGAGGCTTGGTGCTTATCAGATGTGCGTTGACCATTGATCCGTGAATTGAAGAGCTTTCCGGTCGCTGTCATTGCGGTGTCCTACATGTTCATCATGGACATTGTATTTTTCTTCCCGACGACGCCACAAACCGATGTTGCGAACATGAACTACACCGTGGTCGTTCTAGGTGGTATACTCATGTTGTCTATCATGTGGTACTATTGCCCTGTGTATGGCGGCGTGCATTGGTTCACAGGTCCAGTGTCGAATATTGAGATGCTGGGCGAAGAGGGTGCGTCTAGTATTCGTGTGTCGGTGGAGAAGAATGTGCGTGAAGACATCGTGGAACCGTCTGTTGGGACTTGATAGTAGAGTCGGGTCCCTAGTAGATTTGATTCACTCACCCCGTGTACTGTTATTCGTCAACCGTTCATATTGATGCATTTTTAGATGTGCGAAGGATGTTCTACAGTGGGTAACTGTGAGGGTGTCACAGTAACAGCCAACACTGACAGTCGATCGGACAGAGGTAACGTGGATGAGCGTATGGATTTGGCGGTACAGTAAGAGATAAGATGTATGTACAGGGGCGACCGGTCTTATATATGAATGAGAACAAATAAGAGACAAACAACACGTGGTGTCCAATCATAATGTCGCTCGTCACGTGTAGTAAGCAATATGCTTACACCCTTCCCGAAAATATGGTCATGCGAAGGGGTCCTCGCGCCGCAGGCGCGCGGGAAGCTGCGAAGGGGTCGCTCTGTCGGAGATCGGAGGTCTCGCGAAGGGGTTGTTTGAACTTTGAAAGGAGCAGTCTCGAGGTACGTACCCTATTCTCATGTGCTGCTGCAACTTACTTCAAGGCAGCAGACATTTGCTTGCCGTCTCGACGGTACAGACCCTGAGAGGTCTTTATTGATGCAGTGATGCTCCAAAAGTACGTACTTCACACTGTCACACAGATTATTCATTTACAACTTCAAGGCAGCAGATATTTGCTCGCCGTCTCGACAGTACAGGCCCTGAGAGGTCTGTGATGCCCTAAGGTACGTACTTCACACACAGATTTATTTAACGGTGACAAACCTCATTTCCTGCGCCTCCCGAATCTGCAAGACACCGTCCAGTGCTTACGTTGACCTCTCCGAACTCTCCGACTCTGGAAATTTCGGTTCAATACAATTCAATAGTTAATACATTGTATGTATGTATCTCAAGTTCTGCTCAAGTTTACTCACCAAACTTTCGCTTCTTATCAGTGTCCTTTCCTCCGTCATTCTTGCCCCTGTCATCCTCCGAGTCAGACTCGCTGGCATACAAGTCCTCCATCTCCTGCGCTTCAATCTCGGCTTTAGCGCGCTCTATTGCAGAGGCACGCATGGCCCTGATAACTTTCTTCAACCGTTTGAAGTTGCTAACATGTTTGTAGATGTCTTGGACCATTGCTACTTGAAACCCCGAACGAGTCGCAAGGCTTTTGACTTGTTCATCAAATCCGAACCGCACAAACTGCTCGATATCCTCGGTGTGAATCTGTGAGTTCAGGTGAACTCTGACAGATACAGCATCTAAACCGTTGCCAGTGAACAATTGGACAGCTGTCTCAGTACTTTCGGATTTGATAGTTGCAGGTTGCACCCCAACCCCAGTTGTAGACTTTGACGGAGGGACGTGGTGGAGATGTGGAGCCATATAGTAGGTTTGAACTACGTAGTATGCAGTAGCACCAGTTGTCAGTTTTGAGCCTTTAATTGAATTCATTCAGCCCACCAATCACGCTTGAACAATAGAATTTATTTTGACGGTGACTTGGCACGGCAGTTATATGGAATATTCAGGTAGACTGATTCAACTCGAGTTCGGACACTAGTAGTGCGGTGAAGTAGTCAAGCGCAAAAAGCGGCCCCTAATTGCAAAAAAAATCGTTTTTCATTACCCTTACAATACTAGTTACATTTGCTATCCCTTCCACACACAGAGCCCTTGGAGACTCGGCAGAATCATGTCCGTCTATGAACCAGACATGGTGCGCAAACTGCTGTCAATGCTGGAGCCAAAGGACAGGCAGAAAAAATTCGAGGCAAACTGGAAAGACGCGGTAAGCAATAGGCATGCAGAACTTCACATCTTGACACTGACCTGTTAATGACCAGTTGCGCTAGGTGAAAAAACGCGTTGGGTCATGGACAGGACATACAGAGCGAATGGCCAATCCAAGACCCAAGCGCCAGTGTGAATGGGAGGCTGAAGTGATTGAGTACATCAACTATATCTCGGAGAAGACACGAATACGATCAGTGAAAACACTCACGCGACCATGCCTGGACAGCAGGATTCCAATACTTGGCCCTCATTTTCTGCCACCATCTTACCTCCATGCCCGAAAGCGCAATCAATCTGAGCCTGCAGTCAACCCAGAAGTCTTGTACTTGAAGCCTCTTCGCGTCATACATCCATTCTATCACCCTGAGCTTGCAAGATGTCCGCGATGCGATTCTAGGGATGGTGTTTCGTGGGATGGGTGGACTGGGACTGGTCCTCGGGATGTCCATGGAGTAATGCTTGATGAGGCAGCATTAGGCATGCAGCTCCGCTGTGAGAGTTGCAGAACTGATCCAACAAGTAAGAAGGGCCTAGAAAGCGACTGTGAGCATAATGGAAAGACGCACCTCAAAGGACACTGCTTCGCAACAACGAATCCGGACTTCTGGCGCAATTGGTCCCATTGGTCCATTCCAGGTGAGCTTGATCAATTTTGGCTGGTGATTGTTGATTAGCAGGCTAAGTCACATTCACCGGCAGCGGACGTACCAATCTTCTTCTACAGATGTGCTGTTAGTCGTGAGCTGTTTGATCTAGTTGTTGAGTTGCACCCATCATCTACTGCAGGAACTCTCGCTGAAAACATCCGACGTGAGTACCACTATTCTACTTTCTCAAACACTGCACTAACACACACCTTCTAAAGAACTTCATCTGCTTGAGTACAACAGGCGGAAGCTGGAATACCTTCAAGCTTGGAAGTCGCGTCGAACGACATGACACGGGATGGATTTCTTCAGCCCAAATCCACTTCGGGCATTTTCGGATCCTTACGACGTAAAAGAGTACAATGCGAGGCCGATCTCACATGACATGGTCAGCGAGATCTTCCAGGAGTTTGTGTCGGGAACGCGGGAAAGGGAGTCAGAGGAATATCTTCGCACTCTCTCTGGTAAGAAATTGCTCTACTATCAGTGCTTGACACTCACCAGCGCTTGAGTAGGTATAAGCATTTCATTTGACAACACATTCCGTGCTGCTACGAAAGCAACCATCACCAGCCGAGAGAAGCAGAAGCTGAAGGTCCTGAAGGGAGGGATTATAAGTCTGATGAACGAGAATGGTGAGATTGTGGGCTGGGTAGGTCAACTGAATGAGACTGGAGACGGCACCTACTGACTGATCTATATTAGCGCTTCTGTCACGGTCAGTCAAATGCCAAGATAAGCGAACTTCTCAAAGGCCTCAAGACGCGATGCGAGGCTCTGGATGTACCTCCACCTGAAGTATTTGTTGCCGACAACTGCTGCCATGTTCGCAATGCTGTGTCTGTCGTTTTCCCTGATGCCACAATGAAACTGGATGTCTGGCATTTCATTATGAGGCGAGTACATCTTTATTTGCATCTAATAGTCTACAAACTAATCCTAAGAGCAAGATATGCGACTGTTATCCTTAATCCCTCCAAGAATCCCCACCGGAAAGAGGTAGTCGTGGAGATCTCTGCCTGTATCTTGAAGAAACATGCTGAAGGCGGGAATCCCGCAAAGTACTGGGACCGAAATGAGCAGGAGACGAGACTTACCTCGACGTTCGACAAATGGGCATGTGAAGGCACAGTTTGGTCAGTGGGGGCACGCAAAGTGAGTAACTCGTCCCAGAAAAGTCTGTTTCACACTAACATCAATTTCAGGTTCACGAGGAACAGCTCAAACATGTACAGAAAGGCTGCCTCGAACGCCAGCGGCAGGACATACGAACAGATGGAAGCCGTGTGGAGGGGTCGCACAAAGGGTGGAACTCACTCCAGCGTGTGCACACCAGCGGGATTGTGACATTCACGGGCCTTTGCCACAACTTCATTCTTCGACGAAACATCCGCGTCTCCTTTTTGAGGGCGAGAAAATCAGACTTTGTCGCATCAACTCATGGTTCTCATCACATTCACCTCATCAACAGGATCGCAAAGCAATTCAACAACCTCCGACTCAAAGAGAAGACCACCAGCACATGTTGCCTGCCAGAGCTCATTCAGACCACGTCCGAGGAGCACTTCGGGCTCGTCAAATCGAGTTTTGCATCCACATTTGGTGGGCTACTGGATGTCAAGGCGGAAGAGTCACCAATCAAGCTCAATATGACTGGCCCAAAGTTTCTTGAGGCACTTAGTGGCGAAGGCAATGATGCAGTTGACCTTGCCCTGCAGTCTGCGAGGTCTGAAATACTTGAAGAGCTCAACATTGACCTGCAGCTTCTTTCCCAGCCTCAGGCCCCCTTCGATGCGCAGCTTTCACTAACCACCACAATTCCCACAGTCGCAGAAGTCACTGACACTAGCGAGGCCAACTCTCATTTGGCCGTCATGACAGCAAACACTCAACCGCAACCAACAACAAAGCGCAAGGCGGATGACAATGAACCTGAAGATTCTGGCCAGGCCAGGCCAGCAGCGTGCAGGCCACCCCGCAAGATCATGCGGCATATGACGGCCGCCGCTAGTGTTAATGTCCCAGAAGTTGCCGCATCACAGGTAAGCACACTCTTTCTCTCCCATTTCCCCCCCTCCACTCCCATTATACCCTCCTCTGATCCGCATTTACAGGGGATTTCTCCATCAATCACACTGGACCACTTCCTGAAACCAAGAAGCCGGCTGCCCTACTGCAAAGCTCCCTCACAATGGCCGACAGATGCTGGCGCCAGCACTCAGTGTCAGCTTCCCGCGCCGGTCACACCCAGTTCCACTCCCCCAAACCCAGTTGCTGGTACCACCGCTCTCACACCTATTCCGAGGCCCCCAGGAATGACCCGTTCTCAACACTTCTTCACCATTGCGACGAGAATCGATGCCTGTGCCATGCACATCTCCGGCGATGTCGAATTCCACCTGTTCATGGACATGAGAGCCGAGTTTGCGTGGATCTCCTTCAAGATGACACCCAAACAGTGGGCTGCAGCTACCGAGACCTACAACAACCATCTGAGGAGAAGAACCATGCCAATGGTTCCAAACGGTGAAGAAGAACCCCCAGGCCCTTCTGCGAAAGCTCGGCGAGATCGAGGTCGCCGTGATGAACCGTGTCGCAAAAAATGACTTCAAATGTGAGTTTCCAGTCGCTCACTGACATTTTTCATTGTGCTAACACTACAATACAGCTCATTCTGGCTCAGAGTCCTTCTGGAGAAGGCAACTGTCCCGCTATTGAGCTCATCAAGGCCGAGCCTGGGCTTGGGAAAGAAGGTGCGCAAGTCCTTTCTCATCTATTTCTTGCTTGCTCACAACTCTCTATCTACAGATTCGCAAGGCACAACATGCTCCCGCTGCAAGACCATCATGTACCCCGTCCCGAACTCGGGGTACAACCACAGACAGGGCTTTTGTGCCGACGGCGCCAAGCAGGTGTCCAAAACCGAGGCGCCTCCACCCTGGCCACAGCCACCAGGCATATTCTCTGAAGGCAAGCGCTTCCATCCGCGTGCCTTCCTCGAAACCGTCAAGTCAATATACGAGCAAGTGTTCCTCTGGCCTTCTGGTGAAAGTCCTGCCCTCGAGCAGGAGGCCTTTGCGATGATGCTGCTCGACTGGTCAACGACACTCGAATCAGGCACGGTGCTATTCAAGCTGTACGAGGAGCTTGAGATTGATGAATCAACGCCGGATGCGCTGCTGACTGTGCACAACGGCATCAAGCACCTTCGTGTTGAGTACCTCCAGGAGGCACTGGACTCATAGTAATTTTTTTAAAATCTTTCAATTCAAATCTCACTTTGGTTCCT